ATAAATGAAACATAAGGGGCAAGTAATCAAAGTTTCTTTATTTTAGAAACTATATAAAAACATTTCATACATTTAAAAACTAAATTGTCTATCTCCCGTCGTGCTGACCTTCACATACCACTCCCCTACAGCTTAAAACTGATGGGTTGTCTTCAATATACATGTATGTAAGTAGACTTTTAAAGTATCACACATACATAGGTTTACTGTTTATCATTAGAACTAAAACAAACTGTATTACCACTATACATTACCTCTGACAATGATTTTGTATTAAAATAAGTTTATATATTCTTACTACTTCTAGTTTAATACGTTCTGTTTTTTTTTTATATCTAGAACTCATATATTTGTCGTTTAAATATAACACACAAAGTTATATACATACCATAACTTCTTGAAGGTGTAATCATTTAGGCACGTAAAGAAATATCAGTATCGCCCATCTTACAATTTTTATCTGAGGGATATATTCTTACAGTATAATAACCTTTGATATTTACAAATTACACAGTATGTATAGATTACCAAGAATAAATTAGCTTTCATATAAGTTACTGTATAATCCTTGATATACTTCTGTTGTTATAAGATTTACGATATTTAGTAAAGTTCACTGTAGTAATAGGAATAAGTTATATCACATTATCACGCGGTTCTCCTTAAGTTATAGTTTTATATTAAATAATAAAAGATGACTAGTAGAGAAAGGAGACACTTTTACAATAGTTTTGTGATCATTTATATATTTTGACGGTAAATTGGTGTATGTGTTACTACTACAGCGTTATTTCTGCTGTTGACAACATCCTCGAGGTATCAGGCTAAGTAAAAGTAGCACACAAATACCGAGATAATCGGAGTTTCCCACGTACAGATCTACAAAAACTTGCATTTAATCTGAACATACGACGACTTTTTAACTTAAGTCCGAACATACAAGTCTACGGTGATGGAGGACCTATTGATGAGACATGTATTGTAGGAGTCATGGCCGTCTATCATTGCGGCCTAGAAACACGTTCTCTTCTTTGTGGTACTATTACGTAATCATCCGTTATGGCCGCCTGTCTGGTATCGAACTATAATTTCAGCCCTCCATAAGTTAGTTGTGACACTTTGTTGAACTATGACGTCGTGGTGGCCTAGCAACGCGTACATAACGACTCTCCCCTGGTGGCACCTTTTGGAACTATGCCGTCTTCATCTTTGATGACATTACCTCCCTCTCCACTGAGGCAGCCAGTCAGCGCATGTGTTCAAAGTGCGAACCTTACTACTTATGTTTTTATCTACACCTTTGTAATATCTTTTGTTGCGTTACTGGTAATCTTCAAAAATAGATTCAGATGTGCTTACATTATTAAGAAATAAGCATTTCTGGAATAGTTTTATGCGTCAAATATTTCGCTTATTGTTTTTATTTTTTTTTACTGATTTTAAGAAATGGTGCAAATATTTACAAAACATCCGGAGAATGGAAAATGTTGTTAGTGAAATATAGTAAATTCAAAAATAGGGCCATTTAATTCTATATTTTAATTACTCTCTGTTAAATGAAGATAAAATTCTGATGTTGATGAAAACTTCTAATTTTGAATTTGTTTCTGAAAAAGGTATATCTTTCTTTAACACCTTATACATAAAAGGCTGGATTAAAATAATGTCGGGAGCTTATGAAAACGGTTTTTGATAAAAGATGAAATATTGAATGAAAGATTACTATTTGAAAGATAGGTTTGTAATGAAAGTTGATTTTTTTTACGTTAATTTGCGAAGCAATTTTATAAACACCCAAATTATTATTATTTAAACTGATCAGTAACAGTAACTAAAAATTGCATAATAATTGAAAAAAAAACTATAATAAAAAACAAAACAAAAACAGCGGGGTAATAACGTTATCCAGATCAGTCAGAAACCTGTGAAACCTCAATCACAGAAGAATTAAGGTGACGACGACCATGGGTAACTATGTAGTAAAGTTGTTGCTATATAATGATTAGAGGGATGATGTAAAGAGAAATCAAAATAGTGGCTAGCCTTAGTTGGTTTTTTGATACAAATATTAGTGTGAAGATGTCCATCGTTTCCCATAAAATTGAAACATTCAAAATTTGTTTTGTTTAGAAATTCTTGCAAAACTACACAAGGATTATCTGCATATAGCCATCCATAATTTTGAACTGATAGGCTAGGGGAAATGCAGCTAGTCAACAGCACCAATCGCTAACTCTTGGGCTACTCGTCTGACCGAATAGTAGAATTTGACCGTCACTCTTATATCACACTCATGATCTTACAATGCGGAGCGCATTTTTACGGCAACAGGATGCGAACCTGATATCTCGGATTAACAGTTGGTACACTCTAAACACAAGGTCGTGCCTAGCTCGAAACATCAAAAAAAAAAGGAGATGTTTTATTTATTTCGTTTTCCACGGTCAATTAATAATAGAAGTGGATAGGATGCACATTAAAAGTCATACGTTAAGACTTTGAAAGATAAGTTTAAATACGGTCTTAAGCAAACTATCGTTCATGTTAGGGTTATAAATATGGAAAAATTTATTGTTTATAGCGGACTAATAAATGTAATTCGAACATTTGATGATTAGTTTGAGTTCACAATCTTTGTTGTTGTTTTGAAACATGATTACAGTGAAAGATGATGCATCATGTCATGACATCGTCGTATTTCTGTTAGTTCAACGAACACGACTAAGTTCCGTAAATCTTATATTAATTTCATTGATGTTTAATTTGGAAAAACTTTATTTTATTGTTATTTAAGGGAAATCTGATAAATGTATTTTGAAATGGAAATTCGGAACATTTTATGAAGCGAAAGAGTAATGAACTCATTTTTCTGAGCGTTAAAGTCAAAATTCAGTGGCCCACAAAATCCATTCGTCAATAGTTAAATTGAACTTAGTTCTTAACATGTAGTGAACATAAAATCTGTTCCTAATTAAAAGTGGTTGATATTGATAAACGCTGTATTTTGTGCACCAAATCGATACTTATTGTTTATAAACTGAGTTAAAGTTATGTAATTTTACACATTAAACAAAAATTAACGTAACTAATAATGGTTGCACAACATAACTGTGCTAGCAATGTTACTTTAATACACATGATTGAAGTATAAGGACTTTAACCTTTGATTTCTGTACTTTGTATTATAATGTAAGTGACTCGTAATAATTTCAAGAGTTAACATTGTTTTCACATAACTTTACACAAAAGAGCTACAGTATTTAATTAATATAATATACAAGTGTAAATTATGGACAATGTAAAATGTCTTTCTGAACAACTCAAATGTACATTCTGCTGGAATCTTACAAACATTTAAGGGCCCGGCATGGCCAGGTGGTTAGGGCGGTCGACTCGCAATCTGAGGGTCGCGGGTTCGAATCCCCGTCGCATCAAACATGCTCGCCCTTTCAGCCGTGGGGGCGTTATAATGTGACGGTCAATCCCACTATTCGTCGGTAAAAGAGTAGCCCAAGAGTTGGCGGTGGGTGATGACGACTAGCTGCCTTCCCTCTAGTCTTACACTGTTAAATTAGGGACGGCTAGCGCAGATAGCCCTCGTGTAGCTTTGCGCGAAATTCAAAACAAACAAACATTTAAGTTACGTATGAATGACGTTTGATTATATTAGAAGAAAAAACAATTATCATGTTTTTTAACGTTTGACAAGTCTCAGATTTTGTAAAACAATAAACTGTAGCTATACACGAATGTATAACATACAAATACAAGATTAAATGATAAGCTTCCTGTAGATTTAAACGTAAAGAAAATTAAAATGTATGTATACGTGCAAAGTTTTGGACTGAAAATAATCAGTCTATAAAACTTTTTTGATCTGATTTGCTGTCGTTAGGAATTATTGCTTTGCAAAAAGACTTCTGTATAGAGCCGGTCTTTGCACTCTCTTGTGTCAATTATAACTGAAACGTGGCTTTATTACACCTCATTGTCATGTGTGAGTCAGAACTAGCGTCGTTTGAAGGAACTTTCTACATAGTGTTAAGTCTAGTGAGAGTCAGAATTGTATTTTAAAATAAATAGAAATGAAATACCAAATATCATAGAAGTTGATATATCAGTTCAGATTTTTAAAAAAAAAAACAGGAAATGGTAAGTGTTGCTACTCATTTATTGCCTAGTTTATATAATAGAAAAAAAAATGTTTAAATATATGATTGGAATTCATATAAGGCGAGTAATTCTTTTAAAAAATCGTCTGACAAAGCATCATATCAGTTTTATGGACTTCGTTATATTTAGCCGGAGCGATTGTTTGTTTGTTTGTAGTTAAGCGCAAAGCTACACAATGGGCTATCTGTGCT